ATAACTTAAATCTATACTCACTTAGAAACAAAATAATCTTAAACAACTTACTAACAATGTCAAACCTAAATATCTGAATAGTAGTGATTATTTGCCTTTAACCAACATAATGCACGATTAACTTTGTTACGGCATACTTTGAAATCTCTAAATGCCTCTGGGTCTCTTTCGAATTGCTAGTGTACTATAAGTACATTTAGTGAAGAAGGATGTCGAAGAAGTCGAGTAGTAAATTCCTCTACGTCTTGGGGAAAGTTAATAATATTTCCACTATATCTGTGTTGTCCTCCACGAAGCCTGTAAACTATCATTGCAGGGAATACTTGTGCGATCAACATTTCTTCAATTTCAGTGAGTCCTTGGAGTTCCTCAGATACTTCTCCTGGATCCATATTATTTTCTGATGAAAATTTTTTCAGTAAGCTTTTCTTAGTATAACAACAGCGACACACTCCTTTGACAAGTATTATAGATAAAAAACATTCATTGCAAGTGAGACAGAGTACATGCTTTAATTTATCCATTTTAAGACAGAATCGCTGCAGAAGTTTTTGATCAAATTCACTGAGATAAGAAGAAAGTAGATCAGTATGTATAAATATATTCTCATCATCACTTTGAGGCGTATCAAACTCTTGCTGCAGGTTAGTATTATTTAAAAGATTCTGTTCATCTACGCATTCATTTTCCGTCTCCATACTTCTGACTAAATTATCATCACTACTTAGAGACATACTAAACTCTAAGTGCAGATTAATATTCAGCAAATCAGAATCATCCTCATGTTCATTCATTTTCACATCTGTACTATTTTGTCTACTCATGTTGGTCTCAAGTTTCTTTGTTGCTCTTTGTTGCCATCTTCGTTCACGATCTCATGTGAGGTATATCTCACGTTGCTGAGATGTTTTGTTTTTTCTATTTTTACGTTTTCGAATCGTATCTCGATAATCAGAACTTCCTTCCATTAGATTTTCTTCTATTTGGCTTTCTTCTATTTGGCTTTTTTCCATTTGGTTTATTATTAATTAGTGAAGGATTATTTGTGCTGTATTTTATTGAACAGTAAAATAGGAAGAATGGTTTATACGATTAAATAAATCACAAAAAGTTGCACTATTATTAATGCCTGTAGTTTATTTAGTTTATTTTTAATTGTTAAAGAATTATATAACGCGAGACTTTATTGAAAGGAAAATACAAGATAGTTTTATACATTTCTCACTGCGTACAACTTTCTCAGGACGCATCTCATCTAATACTGATTCTACTTTAACTCCCCAATGAAGTATTTCACCCCTTCTTAATCTATCATATTAATTTTGGGGCGCATCTTACTTATCTACTTGTATGATAATTCCTAATGAAGCATTCCTATTTGCCTTGCCTCTTCTCAATCCATCATGTTAATTTTAGGGCGCATCTCATCTAATACCCATTCTACTAATTACTATTAATGTACTTCTGTCTATTTCGCCCTTTCCAATTCTATCATGCTAATTTAAAGATATATATTACTTGCGCCTAACGTCTCGTATAGTCTCTACGTCATATTACCTAATGCAAATAAAGGCTAGGCAACATTGATAACTAAATAAGGTATAGATAGTGCTTCGATCTGCAATCCGACTAATTCAGATCAAATGCGGATATCCTTATCCGTCTTTAAGCAGATCAAGATAGATTTGTAATATATTTTGCACAGTCAACTCCCTTATAACAAACCTCTTTATACCTCTAAATATAGTAAACCTTAAATTTTAAAATTTATTATTAGTTCGCTATAAAAAATTTTGTTCTCTATAATAAAACCATAGTATAACAAATTTTTTTTTTTACAGGTTCAAAAAAATTCATGATTTTGATTGGTCGATCAATGATTTTTCCAGAACTAAATTTGAATTATTGTATAACTGAATTTATGAAAAAGAGTCTGGTGTTGTCTTCATTTCTTTACCATGCGACTATTTTTATTTAAACTTACTAATAACTAGTGATCCTGGCTGATTAAAATTTTTCGACTAGCTAAGCTGATAAAATATTATCAGATTAACCAGCTTAGTCGATTTTTTATTAAAATTTTAAAATTCTCAGGAAGATTAAGTTCTACTTTAGAACTTTTAGGAATGTCATAATAAAATCGATCAGCTGATTTTTAAAAAAATCGATCGGCTAAGCCGATTTTTCAGCTAAGCTAATTTTTTCACTATCAGCTAGGATCACTACTAATAACCTTGTCTATGACTAAAGCATTCAGCATTACTTACCCAAAGCTCTTCTCAGTTGTAACACCAAATTTAATTCGAATAGTTTTGAAGAAATAGAAGACAATAAGTAATTTTTTTAAATAAATAATGAAAGAAATTATTTTTTTTAATAATAATAATTTTAAATAATTAATTTTTAAATATTTTATATAACTTATTAGAATTAGATTTAAATATAATTTATATTAACTAAATAATTTATTTACAAAATTTTAAATCAATAAAATTTATAGTATAATTATTGTATTAAATTTATTTTTTTAATTAAAATTATTAAATAGAATTTAACTTTAAATAACTGGCAGTAATTATCACTGTTGTATAATTAACCAATAACGATAAAACAATAAAAAAATTTCATTTCATTTACTTTAGGGTTAGAGTGAGATCTGTGATTTTAACAAGATGTTATATATATGCAAATTTTAGCAAATAATTTTTTTTTGTTAGAACGTTAAAAGTAGTTTTATAGACGAATTCTTGAGAAATTAACATGTTTTTAAAAAAAACAATTTGCATGTTATATCTGATCTTGCAAATTTATTGGCTAATTATATACCAGTAATGATCATTGCTGATTATAGTTATAAATATTCTATTAAACAATAAATATAATTAATTATTATTTATATTATATTTTATTTAAATATTAATATCAAATTATAAATTTTTAGCTTCAGACGAACAATGCTTTGCATTTACCTAGTCTATAGCAATTATAAAAAAAAAAAAAAAAATATTGCTTTAAACTTAACTAATATTACTATTCACTATTTGTTATTTTATACAACTACATATCTTCAATCTAGAAAAATTATGGCGATTAGCTAATGACATTTGAGATTATAAAATTATTTATTTGTTTACTATCACTAACAAATTAATTTTTTTATATATATATCATTGTCTTTTTCTAGTTCTTCATTTGCTGATATTATCATTTGTTGGTTTTATCATTTGTTGGTATTATCATTCAATGGTGTTTTGATTTTACTTGTGCAATTATTAATTGTCATTCTTCATAGTTCTTCAGTAGATTTTTTTAATACTAATCTTTCTTTTTTTTTAAGCATTTTACTCAATCGTTTACTTTTTGTCTTTCTTTAGTAGGTTTTTTTGTTGTTCTTTAGTAGGTTTCTTTGTCAGATTTTTTTTTGTATTAATATTTCTTTTTTTTAGCTATTTTTTCATTATTCACTTGTTATTCTTCAGTGAGTTTCATTGTTGTTATTTCTTTGAGATTTTTTTCATACTAATATTTCTTTTTTTTAGGTATTTTTTTGGTAGTTTTTTTTGTCTTTCATTAGTAAATTTCTTCATCTTTTTTTAGTAAGTTTTGTTAGTACTTTAGCATTTCTTGAAGCTTTTATTATTTGTTAGCACTTCAGTATTTCTTGAAGCTTTTGATGTTTGTTGGTACTTTGTCATTTTTTGAAGCTTTCAATATTTGTTAGTACTTCATTATTTCTTAAAGCTTTCAATATTTCTTAGAGCTTTAGACATCTGTTGGTGTTTTGTCATTTCTTAGAGATTTTGATATTTGTTAGTATTTCAGTGTTTCTTGAAGCTTTGATGTTTGTTAGTACTTTGTCATTTCTTGAAGATTTTATCATTTGTTGATACTTCAGCTTTCTTGAAGACTTTGTTGTTTGTTAGAGCTTCAGTATTTATAGAGGCTTTCATATTTGTCATTTTTTAGATTTTTTTTCTTTTTTTTTAATCTTTTTGCAATTTTAATTAACTTTTTAGTATTTTTTTATTTGTAGATTTCATCTAAAATAGAAAGATAGATGAGTTCTAATTTGTAGTTAAGGTGAGTAAGTTTCTTTGTATGCATGCAATGATATAAATTTTTTCAGTTGTTGTAGTTTAGTATTTGTTTATCATATAAAAAATATTCATTATATAATGATATTGATTTTTTTTAATAAATAAAGTTTTTATAGTATTATATAAATTATTATTTTAAAAAGATTTTTTTTTTAAAAAAAATTATTATTATTATGTAATGATAATGATTTTTTAAAAAATAAAAATTCTTCAATAAAAATTTTTTCACATTATTTCAAATATTTGTGCATTATTTTGAAATTTTTTGCATAATATTTCTAAAGATTTTTTGCTGATTTTTAAAAGATTTTTTAGAAATTTTTAAAATTATTTATTTCGAAAAATTTTTGCATTAATCATAGATCTTTCAAAATATTTCGATCCAAAATTTTTTCAAAAATTTTTGCCTAAAAAAATTTGCTGATGTAGCTACTATACCTGAAATTTATTTGAAAATTCTCTATTTAAACTCTCTAGCTATATGCTATTTTATCTGAATGCTATTATATTATCTTATTTATCTAATCTTATACTACTTTTATTTTTGGAAGACATCAACAGAGCTAATATTAGTCTACAAACTTTATAATTCAGAGCTTAGGCTCTATCTCAAAGTATCCTTTCTCTAACTTTTTAATTGATAGGTACTGTAGTGTCTAACTATACTATGCTATATCTCAATCTATCTTGTGTATACTTTTATTCAATATTTGTACAAATTTAGTTCTTACTATAGTTTTCTACTAGATTAGTTATCTGTATTTTTAGTTATTATATAAGATTAGATTCTTCTAAATCTGAATACAATCTAGATTAGTATTGCCGTTAATTATCTGTACTTCCAGATTTTATATAAGACAGATCCTTCCAAATCTAGTTAGCTACCAAGCTAAGTTAGTATTATCATATGACCTTGTATAATAGACTTATATATATTTATTTTGCTGATCTTTTCATATATATATAAAATTTATTAAAATTAACAATTATATAAAATACAATTTATGAAGTAATAAACTTGCAATATATTGAATAACATAAAATATAAAAACTAATAAATACTGAGATCTAGTGATCTTAGTATAGTAGTTAGATTACCAAACTGCTATACAAAAGTCTAAGTTTAAATTCTACTTTTGATGAATTTGAATAATTATACAGATCTTTGTATCTAACTTATAGTAAACTCTATTTGTTTTTAAGGGTTACAACCTTGTAAATCACATTGTACTAATATTAATTAGATATTAGAAGTATGATACAATGCTCAAATTATATTATATGAATAAATCTTGATAAGATCTATGAGTAGAGGACCTGCATAATAGAAATTCTGAGTTTAGTAAAATAGTACAAATTTTAATAGTCAAGCTAGTTAACACTTGATCCAATGAAAAACCTAAGTACAAAGGATATAAGATTAATAGATGCAAGTAAAACTATCATGAATCTGCAGCCTAATATGAACTACAAATAGCTACACCAACTTGGCTTAGTAGCTAACTAGATTGTGAGAATCTACTTTATAAAATATCTAACTAGAACTTAAAAAACTATACCTAGTAGAGAGCTATAGCAGAAACTGAGTTTATACGAATATTGACAAGAGTCTAAGCCAGATAAATTTGTAAAATGAGCATATGACTACTCTAGTAAGAATTACTTCTAAGGTTAACTGAAGCTCTGTGTACTCATAATATATTAGGCAATATATATCTCAAGAGAATCTAAGCTATACGGTAATTAGATCTATATATAAGTTAGCTAGCTTAAGTGATCAGATATAGTAGTGATATTAGTTTAGAATGAGGAGAAAAGTTAATAATCAGAGTATTTAAATAGGTAACTTATAGGCAGGTTGCAAGTATAGTAGTATAGTGTAGAACTAACAGATAGTCGATTATCTGTATAGTGAA